GGAGACTCAGTGACGGCTTCTTTCTTGGACCCAGTCTAATTTTTTGACACAACAAATATACTGTGCCCAAAATCAGACTTCTCCGAAGTCTCCTCAGTGAATGACTTTCATCGTCCCCCGAATTGCCCTAGTCAGAAACCTGGGTACCATCCTTCTCTCCTTCACCCCCTTGGTCCATCCAAAACCCAAATCCTGTGGACCCCGGAAGAGCCCGCAAATGTATTTTCTTTTGTCTGCCACCTCCCTCGTTCATCCAGGTCCTCCCTATTCTGGCGTACATTATTCCAACAGCCTCCTATTTCCACCCTTAGCTCCATTTAATCCTTTATCGACAATGATACCAGGATGATTTGTTTTTGGAAAACAAATGTGTCACTCCCCTGATTAAAACATTTCAATGGCCTCTCATTGCCCTTTGGAGGAGAAGAATGTGTGTGATGGTTAAAAACACAAATGAGCCAGAACTACCTTACTCAAAATCTTACCTCTACCATTGATAAGCTGTGCCCCTTTGGGCGGGTAACTAAATTTCACTGGTCTCAACTTCCTCATCTACAAAACGGAGTAATAACAGTACCTGCCAAATACAATCGGTCTGAGGATAAATCACTTAATGTAAGGGGCTTGGAAAGTATTAAGGCCTACTTAAGTAAAATCGTAAATCCAATATTGTTAACTTTGTTTTCACCTGCCCCCTGATTACTTCTCCAGCCTCAGCTCTCTCCATTTTTCAGGGTTCTGCAATTTCACTATCATGAATCTAGGCAGGATTTTCTTTCATTTCCTTCCCTCCTTTCCTCCTTCCTCCCTCCTTCCCCACTTCCTTCCTTCCTTCCCCTCTTCCCCCCTTCCTTCCTTCCTCCCTCCTTCCTTCTTTTTTTCTCACCTTGCTTTGAAAGTCTTTTGTGTTTCTTCAATCTGTGGATTTGCACTTTCATAAGTTCTGGGAAATTCTGAGTTATTTTTCTTCATGCCCCTCTGCCTTGTTTTCGCTCTCCTTTTGGAACTTATACATAAGAATCATAAGAATCCTTTTTTTTTTTTTAATTTTACCCACTGTTTTTTCCATCCTTTTGTCTCTCTGCTACATTCTGGATAATTTCTTTTATGTGTTGATCTTGTAACCTGGGGTCTTGATGAACTCCTTTATTTATTTACCTAGGAGTTTTTTTTGTAGATTCCTTGGGATTTTTTAGGTAGACAATCATTTCATTTGCAAATAGGGAGTTTTATTTTTTGTTTCCTTTCCAATCTGTGTGCTTTTTATTTCCCCTTCTTGCCTTACTGTGCAGGCTAGACTTCCAGTGCTGTGTTGAATAACAATGGTCAGAGCACAAGGACCTACTGTATAGCACAGGGAACTATATTCAGTATGTTGTAATAACCTTTTGTGGAAAACAATCTGAAAAAGAATACATATATGTATATATTGTTAACTTTATCACTTTGCTGTACACCTGAAACTAACACAACACTGTAAGTCAACTATACCTCAAAAAAAAGAATGGTCAGAGTGGAAATTCTTGACTCGTTCCCTACCTTAAGAGGAAGATATTCAGTCATTCACCATTAAGCATGATGTTAGCTGTGGGTTTTTTGCAGATGCCCTTTATCAAGTTGAGTGAATTCCCTTCTATTCCTGGTATACTGAGAGTTTTTATCATGAACGAATATTGAATTTTGTCAACTGCTTTTCCTGTATCAATTGACATGATCATATGATGTTTATTCATTAGCCTCTTGATCTAGTGGATTACATAGATTCATTTTCAAATACTGAAGCAGCTTTGCATATCTGGAATAAACCCCTTAGCTGTGTTGTATAATTCTTTTTATATATTGCTGGATTCAATTTACTAATATTTTATTGAAGATTTTAGTAGCTAAGTTCATGGGATATTGGTCTGTAGTTGTTTTTTTGGTACTGTCCTGTATGTTTTTGTATTAAAATAATAATGGCCTCATAAAATGAGTTGGGAGGTATTCCTCACTTTTCTAATTTCTGGAAGAGATGATGTAGAATGGTGCTAATTCTTGAAATGATTGATAGACTTCAATGAAACCATCACCATCTGGGCTTGTATATTTTTTGGAAGTTCTTTTTAATTACAAATTCAAAATTTTTGATAGTTATAGGTCTGTTCAGATGATCAAAATATCAGGTGAATTTTGGTAGTTTATGATTTTTGAGGAATTGATCTATTTCCTTTAAGTTGTTAAATTTATATGCATGGATAATTTCTTTTGACCTATTTTCCAGTTCACTAGGTCTCTCTGAAGTTTCTATCCATTGATGGATTTAGTTACTGTCTTTTTCACCTCTGAACGTTCTAGTTGATCTTTTAAATAACTTCCGTTTCACTTATTGCCATTTCTTGTTCCCTATGGGTATTTTCATTAGGCTTTTTTTAGGGGGGGAGATCATTAGGTTTGTTTATTTATTTATTTCCTTTTAGAGGAAGTACTGGGGATTAAACCCAGGACTTCCTGCATGCTAAGCATGTGCTCCACCACTTGAGCTATACCCTCCCCACCCTGCAGTTCTTTTCAAGTTTTGTCACTTATTTCTTTGAAAATAATAACCATGAACATTTTATAGTACCTTGTTTTTGTTTTTGTTTTGTTTTTTAGACATGCAAAGATTTTATTAGGGTAAATGACTGAGTGAAAAGAAGGAAGGAACCAGAGAGTTGTCAGGTGATTCAAGCCTGACCCCAAGTGAAGAACAGTGACGGTGTGAGGGCCTTGTCTTAGACCTGTGTAAAGCCTAACGTTCTGCAAAGATGTTAGGGAGTTCTTGAGCCTAAGCAGCTACCAAAAACTTTAAACAAGGGAAAAGGAAGGGATTGTTAGAATAATCAGAGTTTCGTACACATTAGATTGGTTAGGAGATCGGGCATGGAAGGATGTTTTCTCTTTTCTATAATCAGCAATACTGGCTTTTTTTTATGGCATTTCACATGCATATGATAAAATTTGAGAGTTATAAGAAGTTATAGAATAAACATTAGGTGGTCTTCCCTTGTGTTCCAGCCATATGCTGGTGAAGTTTTAGGAGTCAGGAATGACCCAAAGAATGGAGACCTCACTGTCAGGTGAATCTTTTGCATTCTGTCCTGTTCTTACTTCTCCACTGCAAACTCTGTTTCCCTGCTCATCTCTCTTCCCTACCCTCACCCCAGCTGTTCGATTTGATTCCGGGGCCTTGCCCTCTCACACTACATGTTGCCACTCTTCCCATCCCATTGGCCTTCCCGAAGACTCTTAGCATCTTTCCAGGACAGGAACACTCTGCCTGATCTCTTCTTGCCCTTTGGACTGGGATCTTGCACTAAAAGTTTCTGTGCTGCATCTGTAACTTCTGAATGGCCTCCAACTTTGAGAGGTTAATCTCTCCACACTGCCTTTATCTGTTGGAAAGTCTCCATATAATCCTGCAGTGAGGTCCATATGGAAGATTTAACTTGTTTGAAACATTTACTTTAAATAGTAAGCAACCTTGCTCCACATTACACCAAAGAAATTCAAACTTACAGTATCGTGTAATTCAAGTAAGTATCTGAAGTCTTTGACAATCAGTTTCTGTTACCCATTACTTCTGTTGATGAGAAACTTTTCTTGTGTACTTAAAATAAAATTGTATCTTTGCAGGAAAAAATGTGGAAATAACTGGGGGGAGATAAAAAGTTCCCT